ATATATATATATATATATATATATATATATATATATATATATATATATATATATATATATATAATTTTTATTTTATTTTACGTCACACTTTACAATAAACTTTTTCATTAACTAGCCTTAACAAAAATTAATAATACTGTAATAACTGTATTGTTTGTTTATTGAAGTTAATAAATGTATAAATTAACAATCACCAAAACTACCTTATTTTAAAGTGTATTGTATTATATTATATTATATTATATTATATTATATTATATTATATTATATTATATTATATTATATTATATTATATTATATTGCATTATATTATGCTATATTATATTATATTATATTATATTATATTATATTATATTATATTAAATATCTGTGTTTATAATTGTTCGTATTTTCAGACGTCTTGTTGTTTTAACATTATTATTTATTTTAATTAGTAAGAATTTTCTAACTGTCTTGTAAAGGTTGCTTTAATTGAAACAAAATACATCATAGAGTTTTAATCTACCGTATATGTTTTTAATTTCAGCTTTATTTCAGCTTTTATAGTTTTTCCTATTATGGTTTTTGAGTTCAATGCTTACGTGAGGTCAAGTCATATTAATGTATCATAATGAATCATTATACTATACTTCTATGTCATTGCATAAAACATTTTAGCCACACAATTTACAAAATAGTATTCATAGTACAATTTAGTAGCAGTAGTACAGAATAGTAGCATCACAATAAGTAGCATCCAATAATATTGTCATATAATCTAATAATATTTTCATTGCTTTAATGAGCCGGATCCACAGTTTTATCAACCATGTTTTTACTCTTAGGTTTTTCTCAAGGTTTTTTCCTCCTGCATATGTAACTGACCCCTGTCAGATACATGTGATATAAGCTGTTTTCTCATATAACCTTGACTATAGACGTTCCCTTCAGCTCCCCATGGATCTTTCCCAGGGTGCCGCAGGTCTGTTGACACAGATGCGTCCTGGGGTCTGAAGTCAGCGGGGTGCTTTCATTCTCCTCTTACTGTTCAAACACCGCCGAACATGATTCTGATCTGGGGTCAGTCAAAGAAAAGCAGCATTTCCCAAAGTTTGGAGCATTCTGAATGACGGAAACCTTTCCTATCAAGCAGAAGCTGATGAAATATGAAAAATTCAGCATTGAAAATAGTGATAAATGTATCTTGCGCAGAATAAGTTATTTCTGAAGGATCATGTGACAGGACTGGACCAATGATGCTTAAAATTTAGCTTTGAATCAGATAAATGAGTTACATTTTATAACATGCAAAGAGCAGTTATTTGAAATAGTAATACATTTTATTCTTGTTTTACTGCGTCAATAAATGCAGCATTGAGAGTTTGAAAAAACATTAAAGGGGACCTGTTATGCCCCTTTTTATAAGATGCAAAATAAGTCTCTGAGAGCCTACTCACACTATGCCATCCGTACCGTGTCCAGGCCCGTTTCCCGGATCGTTTGAGAAGTGTGAGTGCGCTGAATCGGGCTCAAGCACGGTTCACTTGGCTGGCCCTGGCCCGGTTGGAAGAGGTGTGCCTGAGCGCGGATCACTTGGGCTTTGGCGCGGTACACTTGTGTGTGAGTTCAAAACGCGCCAAAGCCCGAAACTGAAAGCGAGACGTGACTTTTAAGTGGCTGTTTCATATGGATTTATTAATCATTCTTACTGTTGAGTGAACGCAAACTGCCGTAGTTTATTAAAGACGAGAACTCCTCACAGCACGCCAGCTGCGTGCCTTCAGCAGACCTCCTCATTCCTGCAGCACGAGGGCTTTATGATTGTTTATGAGCGCCAAAAGTGGCGGATCTGTCCGGTGAAATACCTGACTGCGTGTCCCCGCATCCCTAAGGACTGTTTGGCGAAATATTTGACTGCATGTCACTGCATAACAAACGACTGAAAGGATATAACTAGAGAAATCTCCACTGTGCTGCTGAGTGAGAGCGTATCGCAAGTCGTTTTAGCATTTAAACCTTTGTTCTGACTATCCATAAATATATTTAGAGATATCTCTAATTATATTTTGACTAGTCATAATTATAATCCGACTAGTCAGAATGACAATTAGAGATATCTGCTATTACAATTGTACTAGTACGAAATCAGTTTGGAGATATCTGCAAATATATTATGACTAGTCATATTCCTCCATTGACTTCCATTGAAAAATATTTGCATGAAATGAGTTTTGATTACTGCCCCTTTTAGGCTTTGAGCCAACTTGTGGCGTTTTGGTGACTTGCTTTACATTCAACTTAGATTGTGTTCAGGGCCGGAGCAAGCTGAACTGCCGCTCTAGGCAAAGGACGATCACGCCGCCCTCAACCCCAATGTGAAAACAAAAGTGACCGGTTATGAAAATGAAGTGAGGTGTCACGGACCTCTATTCTGCCACCCTATGCACGGATATCACTGAGGACGCGCGGGTGCTGAGAGAGGGAGGGAGGTGTCGCCGATGCTGCCCTCTCTATTCTGCCGCCCTATGCGCGAAATAACTGAGGACGCGCGGGTGTCGTGGACCTCTAATCTGCCGCCCTACGCGCGGATTTATCTAAGGACACAGGTGCTGATGGAGTCGTCTCTGCCCTCTCTATTCTGTCTATTCGCCTATGCGCGAATATATCTGAGGACGCGGGTGGTGCATTTGCAAAAGAAGGCAGAGCTACAAATGCCTGTGTGTCAGCATAGTGGCAGATTCAAAACAGGACTAATGGTTAGGGCTGAGTGACAAAATCTGTATTGATTTTTACTGACTGAGCACCATTGTCAATATAGATTACCTTTAATAAAACAATAAACATCTGAAAATGTCTTCTCTAATCTCAAAGTTCAAACAGCAATGTAAGTGGGCCTAGATAATGATCCAGTGAGATTTTTGAGAATCTTATCAATGTGACAAAACTAGTAAGATAGAAAATTGAGTGTCTGAAATGCATTGAAAACAACTCGAGACATACCTCTCTTTTGTAAAGTAATCATCATTTCTGTCTCCTCTCTGTTTGTGTATCGCAGTACGTTTCAATGGGACTAAGGATGTGGCCACCTGCATGGATAAAAATCACGGCTGTGCCCATATTTGCCGTGAGACCCCTAAAGGAACCATCGCCTGTGAATGCAGACCAGGATTTCAGCTCACCAAGAACAATCGAGACTGTAAATGTGAGTAATCAATCATGTTAATTACACACTCTCCACAATGGCGAGGAAAGATTGGAGCATTTGAGAGATGATTTTATACCAAATAGATTGATGGAGAGAGAGAACAATAAATGAACAGAATGATTGATGGATGGGTGGAGGAATAGATATTTGGATAAATCAGTGGAATGATGTACAGAAATAAGAGTAGAACAATGGATGAATTGATGGATGGATGGATGGATGGATGGATGGATGGATGGATGGATGGATGGATGGACGAACGGATGGATGGACGAACGGATGGATGGATGAACGGATGGATGGATGGATGACAAGCATGCATGGATAGATGGATTGACAGTTGGATAGAGCGATGGGTGAATGGATAGATGGATGAATGATGAGAACAATGCATGGATTGGTGGGTGGATGGTATGTGGATGAATGGACAGACAGACAGATGGATGGAAAGTTAGATAGAACAATGAATGGATGGATAGACAGTTGGATAGAACAATGTATGGATGGATGGATGGAACATTGCATGGATGGATGGATGGACAGATGGATGGATAGATGGAACAATGCATGGGTGGATGGATGAACAAATGGGTGGATAGATGGAACAATGCATGGGTGTATGGATAGGTGGATTGATGGATGGATGGATGGATAGATGGAACAATGCATGAATGGATGCATAGATGGATGATTGGATCAATTAATGGATGGATGGATGGATGGATGGATGGACAGATGGATAGATGGAACAATGCATGAGTGGATGGATAGGTGGATGAATGGATGGAAGGACAGATGGATAGATGGACAGTTGGATAGAACAATGAATGGATAAGTGTATAGAACAATGCATACATGGACGGATGGATGGAAGGATGGATGGACGGATGGAACAATGCATGGATGAATGGATGATTGGAACAATGCATGGACAGATGGTTAGGTGGATGAATGAATGGATGGATGGACAATTGGATAGAACAATGAATGGATGAATGTATGGAACAATGCTTGGATGGATGGATGGATGGATGGATGGAACAATGCATGGATGGATGGATGGATGATTGAAACAATACATGGATGGATGGATGGATGGATGGATGGATGGATGGATGGATGGATGGATGGATGGATAGATGGAACAATGCATGGGTGGATGGATAGGTGGATAAATGGATGGACGGACGGACGGATGCATGGATAGATGGATGGATGGAGGGACAGTTGGATAGAATAATGAATGGATGAATGTATGGAACATTGCATGCATGGATGGGTGGACAGATGGATGTATGGAACAATGGATGGGTGGATAAATGGAACAACTGATGGAAGGAAGGATGGATGGATGGATGGATGGATGGATGGATGGATGAATGGATGGATGGAACAATGAATTGATGGATGGATGATTAGAACAATGGATGGATAGATGGAACAACATGGATGATGGATAGATGGAACAATGGATGGATGGATGGACGGATGGATAGATGGAACAAAACATTGGATGGATGGATTGATGGATGGATGGATGTATAGTACAATAGATAAGTAAATGAATGAACGAGTGGATGAACAGATTGGAAAGAAAGATGAATGATCTTTCTTGAACTTTGGGTAGATTAATAGATGGATGGTTAAATAGATGAATAAATGTTGGCTGGGAAGAATGATATGATTAATGGACTTTTTAAAAAAAGGTATAGGCAGAAATAGCAAAAAATAAAGGTTTCTGTCCGACTCTGGTCATCTCTAATCTGTTGTGTTGTTCTGCTGTCTAGTGACCTGTAACTATGGTAATGGCGGCTGTCAGCACATCTGTGAGGAAACGGATCATGGGCCCAAATGCTCGTGTCACATGAAGTTTGCTCTTCACTCAGATGGAAAGACCTGTGTAGGTGAGTTCACTGACTGCACACACAACTCAACTGCCATGACTTTTATCCATAGGGAGTTGGTTGAATTGGTAAAGGATGTTCACTAGTGTGGGGATAAATAACCTGATGATTATTGGCAGCAAGTAAAAGTAAAATAGCTTGAGATTATTAGTTGATGAAAGATTATTTGATGGTCCTGGATATTTTTTTTAATTCACGATGACTTTTAAAGTGGAAGTGAAGCAGTCAGTTTACATCATTCTTTCATTTTCCTTCGGCTTAGTACCTTATTTATCAGGGGTCACCACAACGGAATGAACTGCCAACTATAGTATGCGTTTTACACAGCGGATGCCTTTCCAGCTGCACTCCAGCACTGGGAAACATCCATACACTTTCAAATACACACACATACACTCCGTGAAGTTTTATAAATGAAAAATGATTGACCACGGCTGATCTCGCATCATCAATCACTAACCAATCAGACACATTTATATCCGTATAAATAGTCCAACCTCCATACCTTTGTCATCCTCGTTTTTTTTATTTTTTATTCGTTCATATCGTCAGCAGTACTCTTTTAGTGTTTAAAGACGGACCTAAGTCAAATGATTTAGTTACTTTATTAACTGTACGTTAATATCACTACAATATAAGGGCTAAAAGAGATCCGCTGTAAATGCTCCTCTCAGTGTGTAAACATGTAAACAATCAAACTATTGTCGACGAGAAGGATTTTCGCCGCATTTTGTGACCGGATAGTCTATACACACGCGGCTTTCTGATGCTACCTACCGAGTGCATCTAAGTTGCTGAGAAATGCAGAGGTTTTTTTCTCTCCCATTCGCCGTTCGGTATCAAACATTCCATTAAAACAACACTCTTCCAGCAGTTCCTCGCATTCAACATCTCATTTGTCACGGGGGGCATGCATGAAATGTTCCTGAATGTACCAAGCTCCAGTTAAATTCGACAAATTTATAATTTGGCAAATAATTGGATTACTTATGTGCATGTAAACATAGTCACTGTCTTTCCCCCCTGCGTCTGTTTGTTTTCCTTAAGTGAAAATCAGCGCATGCCCAAACAGAAACTCCCATTTTTATGCAAAACCTTCCATCTTTTCCTCCCCCATCACTCCAACCTAAACAGAGCTAGACTCGCCCACTTTCCTGACTTTTACTGAGGCAGGGAGGGTTTTTGGTCCTTTAAAGGTAATGGAAGGTGACACTTTGATTGGTTTAATGCATGTTATGCTCAAACCACACCCATAACTCATAAATAGAATAAGCACGACCCTGTTAGACCATGCGCCGTGGTGCAAATTGTGTTTTTTCGTCCTTAAAATAGCAA